ATTGGATCTGCCATTCATAATTTTATAATTCTTATTACAGATTCTTGTTCTGTTATCCAAAAAATATAGGTATACTAATTTTAAAAGAATAATAATATCCTGCCGGCTTTATAGACAATAATATCCTTGATTATTTGCCGTGAAGAGTGCAATAATGGATGATTTCCACGTCTTAAACAGTCTTTTTTTTATTCGGACTGGATTTTTGCTATTCTGTAATGTTTTACTTTAAAGCTACAATAAGTATAATCTTGATTAGCTTATTATAGCAATTGCTATTTATTGATTCAGAAAAAAAATTATTTTAGTCCACTAAGCCACCTATAGTAAAGTGCCCTTTAACTGCTCTGCAAAATTTTGTTTGTTAACATGTATGTTAAAAAATGAATTCATAACGATAGTTCAACGTGTGATTTAATCTAGACTCCGGCTAAGAGAGCGTAAAAGTGGCAAATATAGATGGCCAGAAATAAATGCATAACACTTAGTTAAACACTTAAGCTGCATTTTTATTACAAAACACTCTCACTCTTAAAGTTAAACTAATACAATAAAAATCTTCGCGCATTTGAAGAGAAAAGTAAAATAAGTTAACTTGAAAAAATAATATGTTTTAAACTTAGATAAATCAAATTACCAAACAGTACGGAAAACCAAAAGATAAAACAAGACATGTAGAAAAAGTGTATGAACGAGTGCAAAACAACTTACTGGAATGGGCGTGTGAGGCCGACTGACAAGAGCCGCAGCAGATAAAGGGAAATTCAAAGAGCGGCTATTGGCAGATTAAAAGGTGCATGTGCAATCACGATGGTTTTTTATAAGTAAGAATTGTACTAAAGCACGTAGCTTCAAACCTAATAAGCTAAGTTTTCTGTTGACATCAGTAGAGTATTACTGATGTTGCTCATAGTCCTAAGCTTTTGATGGACAGAAGTGAACGAATGTGTATCAATAAAGAAGTAATCTACAAGCTAAGTGCTTTACGAGCGAAACTGCAGATCGCGTTTCACTTACAACAGCAAATTATTTAAATATTTAGTCAATAAAAAATATGAAAAATGGAAGAAAAAAGTTCTCATTATGGTGCCATAAATTGTAATTTTTATCTCCAAACCAAGTGAGAAGATTTTAATGTATAGACAAATGTATGTGGCAGTCTAGTGCAGATCGACGAGTGCACATAAACTAGATTTGAGTTCGGATACATGTACCTGAGCTTGCCATGAATATACGTAGATCAGATTAGCAAAGACCGCCGTAACTCGAATACTCCACTTACTTTCTATATTATGTGTTAATCCCCTATTAAACAAGCTTGTATGTCTTCTGCTTATTTTGATAAAGACACCCAACAACAAGTGCATCAATATTTAATAATAAAAAAATAAGTATTAGTGAGTTTATAAAGTTTACCTAATAACCTATAAAATTTTTGACTTTGTAAAGAAAAGCTCGAAAATGCATTCTAACATTTGAGAAGATACAGAATTTATAAATTTTCCGTTAATCTAAATACTAGCTCATTTTCTTTAGTTATTCTTATCATTAAGTAGAATTTAATTCTTTGAGCAGACCTAAAAAAACAGTTACGCGTAATAAGGTAAACAAAAAAAAAAAAGAATATTAACAAACTAATTTAATGCCAGCATTTTAAATATTTTTTCACAATACATCCTACTGTGCTTTTAATTAGAAGGTGCAGTATAAACTAAAAGTGGTTGTATATGTGCAGCTATAAGTCTATCCACTTCATAATTAAAATTTTTTAACGAACCATTAGGACGTGTCTCGTGTAGCAATGTATCGAAGACGTAAATCATAAATTTTCAAGGGGCCAATTTCCAAATCCATTATTTCAATCAATGTGCAAATGAATGTGGATGACACAGTTGTCTCAACTGTTGGCTTCATAAATATATTTATAAAATATACTTAACTATGATTCTTAAAATAAATTAGTTTGAATGTTATAGCTACCGAGGAATAGCGCGTCGAGCTAACTTTAAATTTTTTCAAGATTTCAACATTAAATTATTTAGTGATTATATACAATACAATAAAAAATAATTAAAAATTAAAGCTCAAAAACAAATAACGCTACAGTATAAATAATTACAACTTACTGGTAGTGAAGTCGAGACTACAGAAGAAAGAAGCAAAAGAATTACAAGGAACCATTGCAGTAACGACAGGGTAAGCCTGAATGAAAACCAACATATCGACTTGCAGTTAAAGCCGAATTTGCTAGACAAGAGAAAAAAAACCAGTTTTTGCCCGGATTTCGTGAGTAAATTCGGTAAGGCAATTTATGTTTGACAGTTAATCAAATAACCCGAGTATCGTATTTACGTGACTGTTAGAAACGTCGTTTAATATGACTTACGTGATACTTACGTCACTTTACCAATCAGATCAGTTCAATCTGCTTCGACACAACAAAATCTAAGTTACGTTATTAACACAATCATTACAAATTTGCATTTAATCCGTACACCATAAAAAATTTCAGTTTTACTCTTTACTGAGACATATTTCATAAACAATTGTGATTTTTGCAGAAATTGAGATTTACATATTTTTCACGCTTGGCATCGTAACTAGTCAGTAAAATTACATTATTTACAACTGAAAATGCCAAAAAAAAATTTAAACCGTACAAGTCTGCACTTTTCTAATATCAAATGGCATCAATACACTTGCACACAGTAAACATAAGTCTATGACAAATCTTACATCATATTTGAGTTACTTAAAGAAAACGATTTTCGCTTTTGAAGCACGACCTGGCTAACAGACATAAACGCNATAAATTACAAATTTTTTTTATTTATTACGTGAGCCATTTTACTAAAATATACAAACAATTTTTGGACTCGTATAAGAACACATAAATGAAAATTGAAATTCCAATCCTTTTGTGTTCACAATTTCTCAACTTAGGTAGAGTACTTTTGAATACTACTTATTTCTATCTTCATTTCGTACTACATTTCGATCTGCGTAAAATAAACAATTAAAATTGTCACAAATAAAATAAAGGCAAAATTTCCCGCTATCATAGTAACGTAAAAGAAGCCTTGTTACCGTCTTACGAAACTGTTTATATGTGGGTTAAATCATCTCAATAAGAGATTTGAGATGGTGATTAACCTTTTTTCTACGGTACCGTACGGGGTTCTCAAAACAACATATTGAGATACATTGAACGCTCGATATTTCCATGCTTAATATGTTCGTTACAACTCTATGCATTCAAGTTTTCAGTTTTTTCGTAGAGGTTACAAAAGTAAATCCAAAAATATAAGAACATTAAATTATTATTGAGGTTGTGAACTTTATCTTACTTTAGAAGCAATATACGTACAACAAACAACATTTAATATAAGAACTCTTGCAGCTACTTCTAAAGCCAAGATCTTGATTTTTTTACGTTAATCTCATTTTAAGAAGGTTAAATGTGACGCTCTCTACAGTTTGGTCTGTCGTCTGTCTTTCTTGCTCTCCTGTAACAACATAACCTTTTGTAGTTTTTACCTCGGTTATTAATTAACTTATTTTCTCACTACTACTCTAGAGGTGATCAATAAAATTCAGTACGATCATCAGGTATTTTTTTATCATTATAAAATTTCCATCTAAAGTTTATTGTTAATAAGCGAGATAAATGCAATAAAAGTGCTTAAAAAGACGACAGCCCATAAGCCTACATATAAAAATTAGCTAAACATAAATGTTAATTACATGGCTTCTAGGAACCCTCTTGCCTTCAAATTTTGACAGTGCCATTTTCATGACTTTATTCATTTGTAGATAAATTTTAATTCATTTATCATCGTGAACTTTGTAACCAATAGAACTCCCTTAAGAGAGAAAATCTGAGATTTAGAATTTTTCTTCGAAACATGTATATTTTTGTTAAAAGAACATGCTGTTACGTTTTATTAGATTATAGCAAATATTTAACGTCTCAAAGGATTTCATAAAGAGTAATGTTACAACTCAACTTTAGCGTCAAATATATTGAAACTTTTCACGATAACGGACAAAGTGCCGTTTGATTCGTCACATTTTTTTTACGTGTGTACTTTCATCCTTTTGGAATAATAGTTTTTTTGTTTTTTTTTTTTTTTTTTCTTAAAAAACGCCAATCTCGTATTATTTGTACCCGAGACGTCCGTTCGAAGGAAAAAGAAAGAGAGAGAAAAAGCAACGAGTTACAAATAACCGAGTGGAAAAAAGAAAAGGCAACTCCAGACACTATTAGGGACGCGAGCGCGCGCACGTATAACGCCGCAGACAGACACACGCGTGACGCGGAGGATGAGAACTNTTAAAAAAAATTATTTAATAGTTGTGTGAGGCCCGTAAAAAAGCCTCCTTCAGTCTGGCTGCTTCCCCGTACATGATACATTGTGGACAGTATGATTCTATTAGATCTCATAAACTGCAATGATAGCGTCAACTGCGGCTAGTTAGTTCCATCCAGGGGATAATTTATTGTTATGGATAAGTGACATCTTCGTATATGGATATGGTTGTACTTACATTTATAAATCCGCGCATTACATCACTATTTTTTTCTTCTATCCTTTGTTGGTTTCGTTGGTAAATAATAAGTGCAGACATAAGTTTAAAATCGGTATCACATCTAAAAGCTTTTGAAAGAGATTTGGTAGCTTAACTTATATAATAGGTAACAATAAAGTGCTATTATACAGCAGGATAGTTTACATCGCAATTAGGTATGTGACCACATAGGCTCTTACAGTTCCAAAGCTTATTACTTACAACAATACACATTAATGTATAATTTTCATGTAGCTTTCTGTAGCACTCGACATCTACCATTATTATCATAAAATATTAATATTAAAGTAATATTCATACTTAAATTCAAATATAAAGTATAATAGTTTCTGATGATTTGCAAAAAGGTGTTTCGTCTTCATGAAAATTGTAAGTGAATACGAGTGTTTTTTAAATTATACAAATTTCAGGTATGCAATTGGTTTATTAACGCCAGGAGAAGAATTTTACCAGAAATGATAAGAAAAGAAGGTAACGATCCACACAAATATACATTATCTCGACGTAACAAGAAAGTATCAAGTGCTGACTATCCATTCCACACAAATTGTAATGATAACTGGGAGTTATCCAGGGCCAGTCCTATATATAACGAAAATCTGTCATTTCAGTTGCCTTCTAAATACAAGTGAGTCACTAGTTAAACTTTCAAAATTTATTCTGTAGTTGTGCCCGCCATTTTTCTATTTTTTATTTTTTCCACGAACTGTAAAAGTTTAAAATACATTCTATAAAATATAAAAAAAAATCTACCTTATCAGAGTAATTTAAGGAATAATAGTGTATAGTTATTTTTTATTCAACAGAATATTTCGGCTCTCTGTGTAGGAGAAAAAAGTGTACTTATTGCATTTTTTAAAATTTTCAATATCAATTCCTAATTTTTAACGTAAACCTCAGCTCAAACGTGTAAAAGCCGTCATGCTTTTACGTATACAGGGTAAGACGGCCTTATTATGAAACCTGTCTCTGTATTCAAGAGCTAGAGTTATAATCACGGCTGCCAATTAATTAACACAAAACTTCACTTTTTCTTTTTCTTTTCAATTCTTTATTTAAACATTTAAATATGACTATTAAAAAAAAATAATTTGTCATATTGTAACATCCAAAATTTACATGAGCCACGTAACTGATCATTTAAACAATCAAACATAAAAAAAAATTGTCCGCCCACTTTTTTTATGTTCAGTAAAAATTTCAAAATATTTGTTATACTTAATTAATTTATTTTATTTTGTTACGGTAATTTATACTATGAATTTGTAGAACATTTTCATTAAATCAGTTAATAACATTTTCATTAAGTCAATTGAAAACATTTACATAAGTAAGAACTTTCAAAAAAAAAAAAACGCTTTGATACATCAAAATGAATCAACAGTGTCGTGTAATATAACTATTTGTAACTGTTAACACATACACACCCATACAAGATTTTTGTGTTTCTCATCTTGAAGCGCGAATTTATAAAAACTTAGCCAAAAATTTAAACCTGTCAATCTCACTAAAATAAAGAAACCTTATCATTCGAGGAGACCTACAGTATATTTGTTCGTAGTCTCAGTATAAGTTACATCGGTATATAAAATATAATAGATAGAAAAAAAGGTTACCGTATAGAAGTGACATTGGTCGCCAAATTGGGACTCATCTACGACTCAAAAAACGACTTTGCATGCAACCCACTTTTCGAAAAACGGTACAACACTCCTAAAAATTAAAGTATAATTTTTTTTAGTATCATTGTTAAAGTATAGAAAAATTATTAACATACATAAATTAACAAGATATACACTGCAAAAGTAGAAAAAATTTGTTTTAATCAAAATCTCAGTTAAAATTTCAACAATGTAATGAACAGTGAACTATTAATAACTTCTATTGAAAAAATGTTATCACATTAATTTTTTTCTGTAATTCGTCTAAAAATATACTGTGAAAATGGTCATAACACGGTAAATCTTGAAACGTCAGAGTTGTATTGATTTGTTATTATTGAAGAATTGAATTTCATAAGGAATTAAGATCAAAACAAAAAAAAATTTATTTTTCTTTCATATAAAAGTTGTTAGTGTACTAAACAAAATCCATTATAAAAATTTATTCTAGTCATACTATTAGGATTAGTGCAGCCAAATGAATTTTTAAATTAAAGATCGTTTTGTAACGTCATTTTTACTATCAGACAAAAATCGTTGTGCATGGTTAAAGATCCCAATAGGATGTATCAATTTTCAAATTTGAAGGAAATGTATTCAAAAAATAGAACAGTTAATCATGTTGCCAAATTTCGATTTTCACACTTTCTTGTTTCATAACTTCGCGAAAAATAGGTTTCAGATATTCGATCTAATCAGCATTGACAGGTAGATGATTAAATAACAAACACATTATGCTTAGCTATTTTCAAGCTAAATACAAAGAAATTCAAGAAATTCTATAGCGAAATTCAAAGAAAAGTTCCGTCGATTGTCACTATTTATTTGATAACAGAAAAGCTGGCCAACTTATGTCACAAAACTATTTTCTACGTATTCTCATCACTATACAAAGCGATTGTAACAATTTCCACCGTAGTCGCAGAAGATTCCTTATTATATGCTTTATTTACTAGTCCAAACCATTAATCAGTGAAAGTCTAATTTTTTTCTGAGACAATAAAAATTAAAAAATAAAACTGTTTCTTTTTTTTATTATTTTTTTTTCTTGTAATAAATACATGTTTTTACATAATTTCTGGCGTCTTCCTTTGCCTCTAAGTAGCTTTCTTCTTCTTGGACTCGTAATATAATTACTCTACTAACTAGCTTTCTACGACGAGCAAAAGCAATGCATGTTACTTAGGTAACATTTATCCACCCTCACATGTCATATAACATTTTAAAGTCATGATATCTGGTCAATTACTTGAAACACTTTAGTTACAATTAATATATTTTATATTAAATTTAAGGAAATTATCACTTTTCAAAGTCAAAGTAAAAAGAATTTCCAGCAGATTGTTGGTGTTGCTTAATGTTTAAGATATTTATTACTACCGACTCATGCATCCTCTTTTTTTGAAACTATTGTTTCGTGCAATGTATTAACTTTCTGATAATTAAGAAGATACTGATGGCATACCCAATTTTTTATGGTAGTCGTAGCTCAAAAGAATAATAGATAAAACATGTTTGGAGATAGCAAGTTACGTTTGAGCTTCAAAGATGCATTGCCACTTTAAATTAAGACATTATCAGTTTAAGTAGTTATAACAAATATGTATTGGACGTTCTAAAAAATGTGGACTGTAAAATTTTTCACAAAACTAAAAAGTTAGAGATAGAATTGCAAAATGTCGACATTGTTTATTTTTGGAGTGAATCACAATGTTGTTATATAAACATTCATCGTTACACGAAGTAAAATGTGCAAACCACAAATTCTATTTACATATTTGCATACAATTATATCACAGGTATTTCATTACAACATATTTTTCAACATTTTAACGAACAAGTGCTGCCACCCAATGCTAACTTGATCCATTTTTTGTTAGATATTAGTAAAATGGAAGGTCTAACACTATCATTCTTTTTCAAATAATTAAAAAAACCATTGAAAAATGTCCGAAAATATATCATTGAACATCCAATAGACCATCGCTTTAAAATATATATTCCTAGTTGTTGTTTGCATGAAAACTGTACTCAAAACAGTCGTGTAATAATCTTTACACTCAATGTAAATAAGAATTTCATCAGCATTTTTAGAACGAAGGTTCTTTATGTCGTGTACTGGGGGGGGGCTGAAATTTTCAAAACGACAGATTTGTATAAAACGGAAGTGGCTTACCGTAAGTCTCTTCCTCCTAATTCATTGCATTTCCTCCCTTACCCCGTCTCCCTCACCGTCAGTCGCCTACAAACTTCCCCTCACCCCACCCTATATCTTCCAACCGTGCTGCACTNATCGAATAAGGCGCGTTATTACGCATAAAATATTAGTTTTTTATACATTTGATGCATAAAATAGCGACCTATTTTTTTAATAGTATGACTCAAATACATTTTTTAAATGGATTTTGTTTAGTATACTAACAACTTTTATATGAAAGAAAAAGAAACTTTTTTCTGTTTTCATCTTAATTCCTTATAAAATTCAATTCTTCAATAATAACAAATCAATTCAACTCTGACGTTTCAAGATTTACCGTGTTATGACCATTTTCACAGTATATTTTTGGACGAATTACAGAAAAAAGTTAATGTAATAACGTTTTTTCAATAGAAGTTATTAACAGTTCACTGTTTATTACATTGTTGAAATTTTAACTGAGACTTTGATTAAAACAAATTTTTTCTACTTTTGCAGTGTATATCTTGTTAATTAATGTATGTTTATTATTTTTCTATACTTCAACAATAATAATAAAAAAAATTATACTTTAATTTTTAGGAGTGTTGTACCGTTTTTCGAAAAGTGGGTTGCATGCAAAGTCGTTTTTTGAGTCGTAGATAAGACCCAATTTGGCGACCAATGTCACTTCTATACGGTAACCTTTTTTTCTATCTATTATATTTTATATACCGATGTAACTAACTCATACTGAGACTACAAGAAAATACACTTTAGGTCTCCTCGAATTATAAGGTTTCTTTATTTTTGTGAGATCGACGACAGGTATTAATTTTTATACATGGCTTGTTTTTTATTCATACAACGAAAATCTTCATGTTTATTGTGGTCTTTATCTAAAGTCCTGATGTAACAATTATCCTTGCCATCGAAATTCTTGATGTATGATCAAAGTACGGTGACGTTATAAAATATTTGTTTGCATGTAGTTCCACTACGTTGCTGCTTTAAGAACGGACTATAGTTATTCAAAAATTCTCATATCAATTTATATTTATCGTCATTAATTTGCTTATGCACATAGTTATCTATTATTTCAGTACATCAACTTTTACTACATTAATAAACTTTATTTTTACCCACTAAAATTCAAAACTCTAGCAATTTATGATTTAATTTGTGTTTGATTAATTTATTGAATAGTAACATACAAATACACAACTTCTTCAAAGAATACTCGATATTTACATGCACAATGTATGCGCTCACATGTGTGTGTGTGTGGGTGTGTGATTAAAAATTTTATTGATGTGAAATATCTTATGGCGAGCAGTGAACAGCCGCGTGAGGGAAAATATGCAACGAAAAGTCTGGTTCCCTCCTGAGTAGCGGTTCACCCCACCACTAGAACTTGTTCTCTCTCTCTCTCTCTTTCTATATATATGTATATAATGTACGTGTATATTATATATAATATACAGGATATGTAACGGTGGCTTTTCCCGGGAACAGCGTGTAGAGCAATTTTTTCTGAAGCGAACCCCGTTAAAATTCATTTTTTAAGGCAAATAGCTTTTAAATGGGAGGCAATTGAAAATACTTTCCAAACTACCCCTAAATGGGGTTGAAAGGGTATGGCTCACCCGCATGAACTCGCGACGTTACCACATTGTCATTAAGCTTATCTAGTGAGCAGTGAGAACTGTATACATGGGTATATCCGTGTGCGCACGCACGGGCGTCTGCTATACTGTACTGCTGGTAATTTGAAGGTTGGATGTTACAAAA